CACTCAGGCAGATATAGAGAAGCTAAAAAGGAAAGCAGAGAGCAGAAAACAGGCGACTTTTACCCTGATGGATATGCATTTTTCTCCAGATTATGAGGTAAGATTAAATTAACCCTTTAAAGCCCAGTGCAAGAAAAAAATAAGGAGAATTTTTTTTATTGTTTGAAGTCTTTATTTGACCATTCACAAAATATATATGAGAAAAAAATGCAATTATTTTTTGTGTGTAATGATTGTGTAAAGTCTTCTGCCCACTGTTAAACAAATATGTGGTTAAAAGTAGTCTTGCCCTAAATTTTGCACATATTTTATTAAGATTATCTAACAATTTTATCTTTAATTAATCAATTTTAGTGTTTAATTGGGTTTAAAACGCTCACAAATAGTCACTCAGCTCCATAAACACTTCTTAATCCATCATATTGATCAGTTTAACCTTTTAAAGCCAAGAAAAAAATATGGAGAATTTTTATTATTTGTTGAAGTCTTTATTTGACCATTCACAAAATATATATGAGAAAAAATGCAATTATTTTTTAATATTCGTCATTTATTACCTTTGCTAAATCAGAATTATTGTGTATAGTTTTCTACACACTGTTAAACAAATACATATTTATATGTGGTTAAAAGAACATACTTCATTTTGCACCATTTTTTATTAGGATTATCTAACAATTTTAGCTTTAATTAATACATTTTGGAGTTTAATTGGGTAATAAACGCTCAGAAAGAGTCACTCAGCTCCTTAAAAACTTCTTAATCCATCATATTGATCAGTTCACTGATGGAAATCTGCTTTTTTAACCCTTTAAAGGCCATTTTATTAGGATTGTTTAACAATTTTAGCTTGGATACAAAGTAATTGGTGATTGGTGAACGTTTAATTGGGTAATAAAAGCCATAAGTGTGCTCACAAAGTCATAAACACTTCTTAATCCATCATATTGATCAGTTCACTGATGGAAATCTGCTTTTTTAACCCTTTAAAGGCCAATCCAATAAAAAAAAAGGAGAATTTTTGTTATTGTTTGAAGTCTTTATTTGACCCTTCACAAGATATTTGAGAAAAAACAGAAATTATTTTGGAATATTCGTCATTTATTACCTTTATTAAGTCAGAATGATTGTGTTAGCTGTTATTAGCTATACCTGATTGATTTTTTAATGGATTTATTCCTGTTTAAACTAAGACCACTAAAATATCTGATTCTGAATGTTTAATTTCTAAAATTGCACATAATTAAGCAACAAAATATCTCAGAAATTTAATAAAATTATATATATTATATTATATTGTATAATTGTATAATATAATATGATATAATATAATATAATATAATATAATATAATATAATATAATATAATATAAATATTATATAATATATGATATTTAATAAAACTTTTATAATATTTTACTAAACAGTTCAATCAAATGAATATTTTTGGACCTCCAACTTCTTGACTAAGTTTTATTTCTATCTTATTAGGATTTAGAGGAGAAAACAGAAGTCTGAGAGGTTAAAAACCTTCTAGAGTTATTGAACTGTGTAAATGCACCCTAACAGATGGGCACTAGTCAAATTCAGAGTTATTATTATTATTATTTCCTGTTCTCTGAACAAGGAAACAAGCAGAGGAAGAAATCTGTGCCACACTTCCTTTATTGAGGGAAGATAAGGGCAGTTTTTATTATAAAACAAGTAAAAACAGACAGCAGGGAGAATAATTAAACACATAAATTCATGTTAAATATCTAAATAATGTCACTTATTGTTTCCAGAATGTTATTTATTTCCTCTATGTGAACTTGAATCAGGAGAATTACCTTAAATTCTGCAAATTACCTGAAAAATTACCTTAAATTCTGCAAAAAAAATGCATTTCTTTGCTTGTTTTTCTTTAAGAAAATGTTTTTATTGGAGTCATTTTAATTCAAAATGACAATAATGTAACAGCTATGATGTTTAGTTTTACCTGGAAAATAAATGAAGTGAAAACATCAGAAAAATGCAGTTATAGGAGTGGAAATAGTTCGTTTTTTTTTAAGTTTTAAACTTTCCAAATATCAGGATGTGAGAAGAGGGTCATAGGTTTTTTATTGTTTACTTAAAAATGTATGGACACCTTTAAAAAAAATATACAAAGCTTTCTCATCTTTAATTGTTTTAGTACTTTAGTTCAGTTATTTATCTTATAGTTTGATGTTTTATCCTTGATGTTAAATCCTTTTCTAGTATATTAGTATAAAAGTGCGTTAAGTGTGTGACTGGTGTTGTGGCTGAATATTAAACCCTCTTTTTGTAAAAAAATATGATAAATACACAAATATAAATGTAGATATGAACTATTTTCACAGCATTAAGTCACAAATTCAGCTTTTACAGCTGCAGCTTTAGATTTTCATCTTTTTTTTACATCTAATAGTAACTTTCTTAGTTACTTTTGTTTAGTTTTTAGCTTCTTTTTTTTAGGAAAATGCATGTTTTGCCAGATTTGGACTGTGAGAACCCCAAAACCTCAAAGGGAAGTGAGAACAATCTGGCATAGTCAGTGTTTCCGATCAGATTATTTCAGCAAATAACCACAATCAAAGTTGTTTTTTTCCTTAAACTTGTCAGTACTCTGTGAAAAATTAGGCTGTTTGAACTAAAATCTGGACACTCAGGGAAAGTTAAGTCTGTGACCGGTGTTGTAGCTGAATGTTAAACCCTCTTTTTGTTAAAGAATCTGCTAAATGCAAAAATTTAAATGTAGATATGAACTATTTTCACAGCATTAAGTAACAAATTCTACTTTTTTTCTAACTTTTTTAGGAACTTTTGTTTAGTTTTTAGCTTCTTCTTTTTAGGAAAATGCATGTTTTGCCAGATTTGGACTGTGAGAACTGCTTGTTTTAGC